CTACTAGTCCAACTTTGAAAACAACATCTACAACCACATTCTCTAGAGATCCTCCTACGGGATCAGAAGTTTCCCTGAACCTGATCTTCAAAATACTCGACAAATTTGATGCTGCCCTCGCTGACAGCAGTTCTGCAATGTATAAAGCACTGGAATATACTGTTGGCACTCAGGTACATTAGCCCATGTGTGGCAAAGAAACGTTTTACAGTTATTCTCTTAACTCAACACTGCTGTTTGTCTATATCAAGATGATTCTTAGTACAATTTAATCAGAGTTGGGTAATTCAGGTCCAGAGAATAAAAGTTCAGACCGGAATTTTGTTTCAACCAACCAGTTGAGCTCAACCGGTTGGTTGAAACAAAATATTGGTCTGGGCTTTTACTCTGTCAACCTGAATTACCCAACTCTCAATTAAATGATTCTCTATTAAATAAAAAAAATATTTCATAGTTAATCCTGCAAGTGTCCATATGTATATTAGATAAATAAATTTCAGATATTATAATTTTTTCCAACAGTTGAATAATTTGTACAAGAAAAGGTACATCGCCTTCCTCAGATGTATTGTCATCTGTTTCAGGTAAGGACAGCTGTATTTTTATCACTTATGATTGGGACAATGATATCCTTTACATGGTAGATGTAATATACTTGTACGCTAAGCTTGAGACAGCAACCCAGAACCTAATCTTGTTGCCTCACACCTGCTGTTTTCAGGGATCAAATACAACTATATACTGTATGTGTGTCCAGAGTTTGTATAATCTGCCCAATGCTTTTATGCCATTGTTTTTTTACCCATTGCTGTGGGCAGGGGAGCAGTATTAATTAGACCAATTTACCCATTGCTTTTAACACAATCTAAAGATACACCTTTATAGTAAATTAGTCGGTGTAAAGAATTACTTAGTATATTGGTAAATTGAGCGCAATACTTAATTTCATGAACTATACAGAATGGTACCAGGCTAGAATGGTACCAGTACTATTAAGAATTTTGCTTGACAATTACAGCACGATGCTACAAATAAAAGATACATATTTTCAATTTCAATTTACATGTGTTGTAGTCAGGGCTTGACAACACTGAAAATTCCTTTCTTTCAATGTGTGTTATTGTACTGTATCACCCAAGTTTGATTTTCAAATAAGCAGATTTTTTATTTTTTGTTTTTTTTTTTTGCTGCTCATTTCAGATTTTTTAAACATAATGTTGCTGCTTTATAAATATGCTTATTCTCAATCTCCCTCTCAATAGGCCTGGTTCAACGGAAATAACAACCGAGTTGATCTTCGCAAATCAGTCGGTTGTTCCTAATATTACAGACGTTGAGCAGACATTAAAGGAAGCCATCAACACTTCAGAAATCTCTATGGCCATTATACCTAATACCATTACTGCAGGTAAGTGGTATTTGTGTTTATACAAAGACAAATTTAGTAATACGTACAGTCATAAATATTGCTAACTGTTTAATTACCCTTACTTCATTTCAGTGCTCACTACACCAATGACAACAAGCACTACACCTGGAACATCATCAAGTACAGCTCCAAGCACAATGATGTCACTCACAGCTAGCACCACTACCGAACCAACAACTTTGACTCCAAGTACCATTACTACTGATTCCACAACTAGATCTGTAACAATCAATACTCCTCTACATACAGCTCCACGTACCACTAATACCATGTCCACAACTATTACAACTACAGTTCCAAGTTCAACTACCGCTCCACCAACAACTACAACCACAACTACCACTACTACCCTACCAACAACTACATCTCCATCTATAACTACTAC